AAAAAAAAAACAAAACAAAAAAAACAAAAACAAGAAGCAGAAAAGGGTATAGATGGATGCCTGTGAGTTTGCATATTTGTGTGTACATATGGGAGCATGCATGCACTTGTGGCTTAGCACATACACGTACGTGCATATGCAGCGATTGTAGCTAGATTTGCCAGGGAAAATGCCTCACTGAAAGATGCTGGCAGGCTGGGGATATAGCTCAGAGGTGAAGTGCTTGCCTAGCATGCACAAAGCCTCAGGAAGTACAAAGAAAAAAAAAAAAAGAAAAACAGGATGATATGGAGAAAGACCTGTGGGAAGTGTCTAAGTAAGGAGAGAACTTTGAAACAAGAACTAAGTTCTCAAGATAGTCTAACAGTAGTTTGGAGCACAGCCTTGGGAGCCAAGACTACCTGGGTTCAAATCCCAGCCCCTCCATATCAGATGTGTGACCTTATGTCCTTATTCTCCTCTGGAAACTGGGACTAATGATAGTAACTTTTTTTTGTTTTTGTTTTTGTTTGTTTTTTGAGACAGGGTCTCACTATGTAGTTGAGACTGACCTGAAACTCACTATGTAGCCCAGGCTGGTCTCGAACGCACAGTGATCCTCCTGCCTCAGCCTCCCAAGTGCTGCGATTACAGGCGTGCGCCACCACGCCCAGCTATAGTAACTATTTTATAAGGATATTATGATGGTTGATGGGCATTTACAACATCGCCAGACACAGATTAGCTGTTTGTAAATATTGGCTGAATAAATGAATTTTAGTAATTAATGTAGTGATCATGGACATATTTAAAATAAGTACCCTTACAAAATGAGATTGTGGCTGGGCACAGACCTATAACCCCAGCTACCTGGGAGGCTGAGGCAGGAGGACTGAAAATTCAAAGCCAACCTTGGCAATTCAGCAAGGCCTTGTCTCAAAATAAAATAGAAAGGAGTGAAGATTCCTCACAAAACTAAAACTAGAGGTTCCATTTGACCCACCTAATCCCCTTCTTGGTATCTGTCCGAAAGAATTAAAAGAATCATACCACAGTGATACATGCACACCCATGTTTGTAGCCGCACAGTCTGTAATAGCTAAATCTTGGAAACAGCCCAATTGCCCATCAACTGGACACTGTATACAGAAGATGTGATTGTTTTGCACAATGGAGTACTACTCTGCCGTAAATAAGGATAAGCTTGAGACATTTCTAGCTAAATGTTGTTTTGTTTTTTTTGGTACCGGGGATCGAACTCAGGACCTTGCACTTGTAAGGGAGGTGGCAGCACCACTGAGCTAAATCCCCAGCCTATTTCTAGCTAAGTGGATGCACCTTGAGACCATACTCTAAAGTGAGATAAATGGGACACCCATGTTTAAGTACCCCATTGTTTCTCTGGTGTGAGAAACTGAAAGTAAGAATAAGGATCAAAATGTATAATAGATACTGGGAAATGGGAAGAAAATGTTCAAATGGGAAGGGGAACAAGGGAGGGCGATGGGGAAAGGAAAGAAGGAATAAAAACAAAAGAAGGGAAAATGGCAATAAAGCTTTTGTAATTAAGGAGGGAAAGAGGGGTTAAAGGAAGGAAAGGGGATTGGGAAAAAAGAATCAAGATATGTACAGGTACAAATTCCATATGATGAATGTGATCCATATGTATATCTAAAATGTACCAATAAAATTGATTTTAAATCAGAAAAAAAGAGGGAAGCTGGGCATGGTGGCACATGCCTGTAATCCCAGCAGGAAGCTGAGGTGGAGGAAGGAGCACCACGCTTAAGGGTAGCCTGGGCTACACATTGAATTCAAGGCCAACGTGAACAGCTTAGAGAGCCTGTCTCAAAAATAGACAGATAGTGAGCACTTTGGGAGGATGAGACAGGCAGATTGTAAATTCAGGTCCAGCCTGAGCAATTCATCAACTTAGAGAAACCCTGATTTATTGATTTATTTATTTTTTCCTCATGGAGTTTATTGGTACATTTTAGGTATACAGTACAGTTACATTCATATTGGGAACTTGTACCTTTACATGACAGGTCTTGGTTCTTATTTTTTCCCCTTGTCCCTGCCCTCCCTTCACCCCCTCCTCCCCTCTCCATTTACAAACATTTTATTTCCATGTGTTCATTTTCTCCTATTTGGAGAAACCCTGATTCAAAATAAAAAATAAAAAAAAGGACTGAGGGCATAGCTCTTGGTGAAAGCCCTGAGTTTAGTTCTCAGTAGCAGAAGGAAAAAAAAAAAGGGGCGGAGAGCAGAGCGGGCTGGGGATATGGCATAGTGGTAAAGCACCTGCCTGGCTAGCATTCATTAGCCCTCGGGTACCATCCGCAGTACCGAAAAACAAAACAAAAACAAAAGCAAAACAAGGTGCCAGGCACCTTTAATCCCAGCCCTCAGGAGGCCGAGGCACTGTGAGTTTGAAGCCAGTCCCAGCTACATAGGGAGTTTCGGGCCAGCCTGAATTACATAGCCAGACCTTGTCTCAAAAAACAAAAACAAAACCAATAACAAAACAAAGCAACACACAGTTTCTACACCTATAATATGGGGACAATAAAGGTACCTCCCCATGAGGATTAGATGAGATAATATATGCAAGTCATTTAGAATCTTCACAGAATGTCTAACCAGTCAATAAATGTGAGTCAAGAGCTGGGGGTGTAGCTCAGTGATAAAGCACATGTGTAAGGCCCCAAGTTCCATCCCCAGTACCACAAAAATTAGATGTTGAAGTATTTTTGCAAAATTGCTCACAATTTTCTCACAAAACAGCTAGGAGAAAAAGGATCACATTTCTATGCAATGCATAATGAATGCTACTGGTATTAACAAAATAATGCTGTACTTAATTGCATTTGTTATCACACTTTCTATCTTAATTTCACTGTTATTATTAAAATTAATAATTACTAATATTTATATCACCTACCAGACATTCATATTGTGGTTTTTAAGATGAATAAAGTGATAACTCTTTTTTTTGAAACAGGTTCTCACTATGCAGTTCAGGCTGGCCTTGAACTCACAGTGATTCTCCTGCCTCAGCCTCCCGAATGCTGGGATTACAGGTGTGTGCCACCATGCCTGGCCAACATTCTATAAATAGGTCCAAAGTATCATAAATATATCAACAGTTGATGATTAAATATGTTTGCTTGGAATTTTAACTTAAAAAGCCAGCAGCAATACAATTCATACAACTTTTAAAAATATAAACTAGAATAAAGCATGAAAATAAAATAGTAAAATAGCAAATTAAAGTTATAAGGTAAAAAAACTAAGTGAAAATTAAAAGTAAAAGGTCAAGCTTAGAAAAAAAAAATAAAGGTTCAATAAAGTTGCACTTTTCCAAACTAAAATTTGAATAAAAATCTCACCTTTCTTTTTCCCCGTCAAGTTTATTGGTTTCAATGATAAATATACTCTTCATGCATATCCCTTGCAGCCTCTGCTTTGCTAAGACTCTGAAGTCACAGTGTCCTCACCTGGAATGCGCTTTCTGCCTTTTGCAAAAAGTTCTACCTGCCTTACAAAATTGGCCTCTTTGGAAAACTTCTGTTTTTTTTTTTTCTTTTTATTGAGTTTATTGGTACATTTTAGGTATACAGTACAGTTACATTCATTATTGGGATCCTGTACCTTTACATGACAGGTCTTGGTTCTCATTTTTTCCCCTTGTCCCTGCCCTCCCTTCACCCACTCCTCCCCTCCCCATTTACAAACTCTTTATTTCCATTTTTTCATTTTCTCATATTTGGAAAACTTCTGTTTTGAAATAAAGAGCTCAGAGAAATCAGTTTGGGATCTGACTCTGTAAAAAGTTTTTTGTTTTGTTTTGGGTTTTTGTTTTGTTTGTTTGTTTGTTTGTTTTTGAGACAGGGTCTCACTATGTAGTCCAGGCTGGTCTTGGACTCACTGTATAGTCCAGGCTGGCCTTGAACTCGCAGCAGTCCTCCTGCCTCAGCCTCTGGAGTGCTGGGATTACAGACATGCGCTACAATGCCTGGCTGATTCGTCAAATTTTAAGCAAACACACATACACAGGCTCACGTGCACGCTCCATTTCCTGTACCAGGACTGAACCCTGTTGGTCTGGATGAAAGCCACCTTAGCTGTATAGGAGAAAATCAAAACCACAGTACTTCCAGTCAGTCTTAACTATTTTGGCCCTGCCCCTGGATTTTTGTGTTTTGGTACTGTGGCTACGTAGAAATTGAAAGGGCCTGTGTTGTCTACTGCACAATTACAGCCACGAAAACCAAAACTGTCCGGCTGCCTCCCTTTCTGGGTGACATCGGGAGCAGAACAAGAGGCTGGGATGAGCTCAGAGGTTCTTTCCTGGCTCGCCTGTCTATACCAGCAGATGAGTGGGAAGCGACAGAGCCAGTTACAACATATCTGCGGCCGGTGACAGTTCCTTGGGTTCATCAACGGTTTTTCGGAGTAGCTTTGACATCTTTAAAGGGTGGACTTGAATTGTGTTCGCAGCCACCGCCGCAGCGCCATCGCTCTTCAATGCCAGCGATGTCTCTCTAGCTCAACGAGCTCCAGCTGAAGAAGAAGATAAGGAGGTCTGTGTATCATGGCTCATACAAAGCAGACTGCCCACAAATCCACTGGTGGTAAAGCGCCCAGGAAACAACGGGCTACAAAAGGCGCTCATAAGAGTGCGCCCTCTACTGGACGGGTGGAGAAACCCCATCGTTACGGACCTGGGACTGTGGCACTCCGATATCACAAATTCCCTTTCCAGCGTCTGGTGCGAGAAATTGCTCAGGACTTCAAAACAGATCTGGGCTTCCAGAGTGCAGCTATTGGTGCTTTGCAGGAGGCAGGTGAGGCCTATCTCGTTGGCCTGTTTGAAGATACCAACCTGTGTGCCAACCATGCCAAACGTGTAACAATTATGCCAAAAGATGTCCAACTAGCATGCCGCATACGTGGAGAGTGTGCTTAAGAGTCCACTATGGTGGGAAACATCGCATTCTCAAATTTTTTTTCTCTTCTTCCTGTTATTGGTAGTTCTAAATATTAGACTTTTTTTTCCCCATGGGGTCAAGAGGTACCTAAGTATATAATTGCAAGTGGAAAGTAGGGGACAGAAATCAGGTATTGGCAGTTTTTCCATTTTCATTTGTGTGTGAATTTTTAATACTAATACGGGGAGTAAAGCATTAATGCAAGTCAAAATGTTTCAGTGAACAAGTTTCAGCAGTTCAACTTTATAACAATTATAAATAAGCCTGTTAAATTTTTCTGGACAATGTCAGCATTTGGATTTTTTTAAAAAAACAAGTAAATTTCGGGCCGGGTGTGGTGGCGCATGCCTGTAATCCCAGCACTTGGGAGGCTGAGGCAGGAGGATCACTGTGAGTTCAAGACCAGCCTGGCTTCATGGTGAGTTACAGGTCAGTCTCAACTACATAGTGAGACCCTGTCTCAAAAAACAAAACAAAACAATAAATAAAAACAAGTAAATTTCTTATTGATGGCAACTAAATGATGTTTGTAGCATTTTTATCATACAGTAGATTCTATCCAGTCACTATACTTTTCTGAGTTGTCTTACATGCTAGTACATGTTTTTAATGTTGTGTCTTTCTGTGCTGTTCCCGTAAGTTTACTATTAAAATACATTAAACTGTTAAAAAAAAAAAGGTGGACTCGAAGCCGAGAGAGTGCTAGGTAGATGGATGAAGAGTCCCGAGGCTGTCCTGAGGCTCTGAAGTGTGCTGAGCTACAAGACGAAGGCTGACTGACAAGTAGGTTTGAACCCAAACCTCCTCTGTGCAAAAGGGCGGGGATTGAAATTTGACTGATGGCTTCTTCAACCAGTGAAAAAGTCTGAGCCAGAAGGGCCTGCTCATGTCTTTTGTCCATAGAGGGTAGGTTATCGCTTTGATTGACCCATGTATCATCCCATAAACATGTCCAATTGAGCTGGGAGTGGGACAACTGATTGAAGAAAAAGTGAGGTCTTGTCCTCAACCGGTCTCCCCCACTTCTCCCTCCTCCTTCCTGGGGATTGAACCCAGGGTCTTCACACTGAGCCACACCACCACCCCTTTTTTACTTTGAGACAGGGTTTCTCCTAAGTCACTAAACTGCTCTTGTGATTCTCCTACCTCAACCTCCCAGAGTATCGAACAGAGGCCTGTGCTACCACATCTGGCTACCCATGTTTTTTCGAGGCTGACTAGATGTAGCTGATGGAGTCTTCACTGCCAGATCACTGCTGCTATCCCCTGAGCTCTTACCATCATAGACTAGGCACAAAGTGAAGGACTCTGTGTTGCTCGCACAGACTACTTGCTCTCTGGCAGAGGTGTGCCTTTTGTTCCAAAGGCCACCAACACTGGGCCAGTGGTCAAGAAAGTGTTGGATAGGAGTCTCTGCCCCTTACCATGGGTGGGTGTCTGATACCACTGAATCCTCACAAGTGCAGCGATTAGAGTTAAGCACCAGCAAGGCAAGATGCACCAAAGACTGCCAGCAAATCAGCAGAAGCTAGGAAGAGATGAAGAGAGGTCTCATACAGGTTTCAGAGGATATGTGACCGGCTGGACGGCTTGACTTTCATCGTCTAGCTTCCAGAACTTCAGAGAACAAGCTTTTGTTGTTTTCTCCTTCAAATTTCTGTTATGGCAGCCCTAGGAAACAAATGCACTTTTCCCATAAAATAAATTGAGGATTTAACTAGCCTAGTCTCTTTTCTTAATTTTCGGTAAGAATTGATACAATGCTGAATTATGTGTGCCTTGAATGTTTTGTAGAACTCAAGTGTAAAGCCGTCTGGGCTTACTGCTTTGTTCTCTTTGTGAGAAGATACTTCCTCTCTTTCTCTTTGTCACTACCTTCCTTTTATTGTTTTGGTTTGCAGTACTGAGGACGGAACCCAGGGCCTCCCACATGCTAGGCACTCTACCATTCAGCTACCTTCCCAGCTCTTTTTAGTTTATTTTTAAAAACAGGATCTTGCTAAACTGCCCATTCCGGCCTCAGACTCATGTCTCAGCTTCCTGAGTAGCTGGGATTATAGGCATGTGCCACCACTCTCAGCTGTGAGAAGATTTTTGTTTTGTTTTGTTTTTTTGAGACAGGGTGTCACTATGTAGTTCAGACTGACCTGGAACTCACTATGTAGCCCAGGCTGGTCTCAAACTCACAGCGATCCTCCTGCCTCAGCCTCCCGAGTGCTGGGATTACAGGCATGTGCCATCATGCCTAGCTGAGAAGATGTTTCTTCAATAAGAAATGAAATATATATTTAGGCACCTGCTGTGTACCTCAAGCACTGAATATACAGGTGTCAACAAGACAGAAAAAGTCTTTGCTCTCAGGGTGCTGTCATGGGGAAAATAGATTTTATGTATATTTCCTAATCCATTGGTCATGATCAACAGGCATTTAGATCTGCGGGGCTGGACCACCACAGAAGGCCTGAGATGCACATTTGGAAGTGGATGGTATTTGAGACCAGAGGAGAAGATGAGTTTGTCAAGAAAGAATGTGTGCATCCCTTTACATAAAACTCTTTCGGACATAGTAAGCTCATCCTTGTACTATTTGTGCATCTCAGGTCTGTGATATCTTTTCTGGAAAAGTTTTTCTGGGCCTGGTATTTCTTCCTCTTTCAGTATTAGATAGAACTCACTGAGAAGGTCAGGCAGAATTTGCAGTACAATATTGAAGAGAGGTGGTGAGAGTGAGTATTCCTTATTCCTGATCTTATGAGGAAAGCTTTAAATTTTCACCATGAAGTAAGATATTAAATTCAGGATTTTTGGCCAGCCAAGGTGCTGTTTGCCTGCAATGCCAGCACTTTGGGAGGCTGAGGCAGGAGGATCACTATGAGTTTGAGGCCAGCCTGGGCTACATAGTGACATCAAGGCCAGCCTGAACTACAAAGCGAGACCCTGTCTCAAAAAAATAAATAAATAAAATGAAAAAGGGATGGGATATAGCTCAGTGTGAAAGTCGTGGGTTCAACCCCCAGTACCACAAACAAAACAACAAAAAACCACTCAAGTTTACTTACTTCAGATCTCCAGCATTCTCTGTATTAATCAGGATTCTTTAGAGAAACAGAAACAATGTGATATACTAGGATCTATCTATCTATCTTGTTATGGCTTGTATCTAACTGTCCAGCCAAAGCCTCATGTGGTCATAGGTGGGGCTTTTCCAAGGTAGCTGGATCTAGAATGTGTGATGCTGAGATTAAGGGTGCAACACTGGGATTAAGGGTGGTCCATCCTGAGTGTAAATGCTACCCACCCAGCCTGGATGGAATATAAGGGATGGAAAGAAAGCTTGCTGTTGCTATTACTTCTGCTGTTGCCATTGCTCACTACTTGCTACTTTCTTCCTGTCCTGCCATGCCATAAATTGTTTCTCCTCTGCCATGCCACCCTGCCTTGGAGCCAGCTGACTATGGACTGAAACCTCTACAAACTGTGAGCCAAATTAAACCTTCCTCCCTTAATCTTGGGTGTCTCTGCAAATCCAAAATTAACTAAGACAGCCAGGTGTGGTGGCACACACCTGTAATCCCAGTACTCGGGAGGCTGAGGCAGGAGGATCGCTGTGAGTTCTGAGTTCAAGATCAGCCTGGGCTTCATAGTGAGTTCCAGGTCAGTCTCAACTACATAGTGAGACCCTGTCTCAAACAAACAGACAAACAAACGAACAATTACCTAAGACATATCTGTATCTGTAGGGAGAGATTTTAAGGAATTGGCTCACCTGATAATGGAGGCCAGCAAAGTCTAAAATCTGCAAGGAGGGCCAGCAACCTGATGACCCAGATGAAGTTGATGCTGCAGTTGGAGTCTGGGGGCAGTCTTCTGGCAGAATTCCTTCACTGTCAGGTGTGGTGCTGCATGCCTGTAATGCTAGCACTCAGGAGGCTGAAGCAGGAGGATCAAGATCTAAGGCCAGCCTTGGCTACATAACAAGCTGAGGCTAGCCTGGACTATATAACAAATCTCTCTTTTAAGTCTCTCAAATGGTTGAACAAAGCCCACTACATTATAGAGGGTTATCTGGTTTACTCAAAGCCCACTGATTTGAATGTTCATCTCATCTAAAAGGTATCTTCAGAGACCTAGAATAGCAAAAGCCATCCTAGGCAACAGAGACATGGCAGCGCGTATAACAATTCCCAATTTGAAACTACACTACAAAGCCACTGTGATAAAAACAGCATGGTACTGGCAAAGAAACAGACCTGAGGATCAGTGGAACAGATTGGAAGATACAAAAACAACTCCAGATGTACTCGGCTACCTCATCTTTGACAAAGGAGCCGACCATCCTCACTGGAGGCAAGAGAGCCTCTTTAATAAATGCTGTTAGAAAAACTGGATTTCAATCTACCAAAGATTAAAACTAAATCCCTATCTTTCACCATGCATTAAACTAAAATCCAAGTGGATTAAAGATCTAAATATTAAAAAAGAAACACTAAACTTGCTGGAAGGTAAGTTAGGCAGAACTCTTGAAGACACTGGCATCAGAAAAGACTTTATGAACAAATCCTCAGTACCACGGGAACTAGCAGAAAGAATCAATAATTGGGATCTCACCTTGTTAAAAAGCTTTTGCACTGCAAAAGAAACCATCAGCAGAACTAAGAGACAACCTACAGTGTGGGAAAAAATTTTTACCAGCTGCTCCTCAGACAAAGGACTACTATCTAGAATATATAAAGAACTCAAAATAATCATCCCCCCCAAATATAAAGACCCAATCCAAAAATGGGCATCTGAAATGAACAGACATTTCTCAGACAAAGAAGTAAAAGCAGCAAGTAAATGTATGAAAAAATATTCCACATCACTGATCATTCGAGAGATGCAGATGAAAACAACACTGAGATTCTACCTCACCCCAAAAAGAATGGCTGCTATCAAGAAATCAAACAATAATAAATGTTGGCAGGGTGGTGGGGAGGAAAAAACTCATCTCCATTGTTGGTGGGAGTGCAGACTGGTGCAACCACTGTGGAAATCAATATGGTGATACCTCAAAGAGCTGGAACTAGAGGTTCCATTTGACCCAGCCATCCCTCTGCTGGGTATCTTTCCAAAAGAATTAAAAGAATCATACCACAGTGGTACATGCACACCCATGTTTATAGTGGCACAGTTTGTAATAGCTAAAACTTGGAAACAGCCCATTTGCCCATCAGTTGGAGACTGGATACAGAAGATGTAGTTTTTCTATAAAATGGAATACTACTCGGCGATAAAGAATGAGAAATTAGATTCATTCATAGGAAAACGGACACATATTGAGGATATACTCCTAAGTGAAATAAATAAGACA